TATATATTCTATATATAAAACATATTCTTCATAGATTTCACAGGATAATTACACAGATAATATCTTAACTGCATTTATCAAATTCTACCTCCCCTCTTTTTTCTCTCAAATACTTTCAGGGGAAAGTGCCTAAACCTTAAACCATTCAAGTTTCAGCTGAAATATAAAATATTTGAGGGTCTTGCAGGAGCTGCAGCTTGAGCTCTTCATCATCCTAAGGACACTGTGGCTGATGTGTCACCGAAACAAAACCAGGCTATAATACAGGAGGCGTCTGTTCCTACAGGAAAATAGCAATAGGAGGCATATATTCCCATTGGAGAACCATGATGGCAGCTCAGCATCAAACTATTTGATTGTCAATGGGCATATTTCAGGTTTATTTTTTTCACGCGAAACAAAAATATCGCCTTTCCATTTTTATAGGGATGGTCTGTAATTTAGGAAGGTGGCTATTGGGATTTTTTTCTATCCTAGTTTCATTTAGATTTTGCTAACTTAGGACTTGAACTATTACCTTGTAGATATCCAGGAATCCACACTGATGGTCAAACCGTGTGTAGAGTTCGTTCAGCATGCTGATGACCTGCATGGGCGTGCACTGCGCACAGATGGCAGTGAAGCCAACAATGTCTGAGAAGAGCATGGTGACATCATCAAACTTCCTGGCTTGAACCTGCTGCCCCTGCCACAACTGCTGAGCCACTTCTTCAGGGAAAATAGAAATAAGGAGATCTACTGTTTTCTTTTTCTCCTCTTCCAGGGCTTGATGTGTGCGTTCTAGCGTTGCCTTCAGTTTATCCATTCGTTTTTTCAAGCCGTCCTGGGCTTTTGCTTGCTCCCCAACCAATATGACATCGCGAGTAGCATCATGGATAGGTATGTCTGAAAGATGGAGGCCTCGGCCCATCAGTTCATCCAGCTTGTCCACACAGGGGGAACCCAGAAACAAAATTGAATTTGATTCTGGCACATGAATCATTTGTCCTTTTATTTCCATCACCTGCAAAATAAAAATAGAGTTTAGAAAAGGAAAAATTTCCTGGTACATGTGGATCCCCATTCTACTTTCTCCATCTTTCCTCTTCAGCTAAAATCATAAACTGTAGCCTTTTATACGGAAGCTTCTTACACTCACCTAAAAGTAATGAGACTCACATAGTTTACTCACCAAGGTGAGTCAGAAAACAACCTATATCGACACAAAAGTATTCCCAAATCAAATGTTGGATTCTATTTCAATCCAATTAGACAAGAAAGCAACCACAATAACATGTATTTCTCAGAATGGTGTGTAAATAATGCTTCTAAATTTTGCCTCTGGAATGTACCTGGCCTTAAAAGCAAATTCCAGAGTAGTTCCTTCTCTGTTACTTAGCTATAAAGCACGCAAAATTAAAGGGAAATGACAACTATCTGAAAGCAGGTTAGTGAAATGGTGAAGTCGCTTCTGTTCTTTTTCAGCAAAACAGCTAGTAAGTCAAATATGGCCATGTTATAGTGGAAACAAATAAGAACAGATGTGAGAAAGAACTCCATAAAATAATGAATGGCATGGAAAAAGAGTACCAGTGCTCCTATTTCCTATTTGCTTTCTCATACATGCAGCAGAGTTGAAGGCTGACATTCTGTTAGAGTCTGTGGATTTCTTGGTGATACAGACTCATGCAATTTGTATTTGCAGAACAGAAGAAGAAACAGTAGGAAAGAGTAGCAGGTGGTTTGTCACACCGGTTTATAGATTTTGCATTTGCCTGTTAAATTGCTAGACATTTTGAGTGCTGTCCAGTGGTTAATACCAATGAGGCCCTGGCTTGTTACCTCTTGCTCCACAATGGCAGTTGAGCACAAAACTACCAGAGTGAAATGGACATTGAAAACCAACTGTAATGATATATTTGATATTTGGGGCTACATACATTCTTATTTTTATTAACTTACTTGGGTCACGCAAAAGGAACAGTCAAATACTGCAAAGAGACATTTCTCACCTGAATATAGTATTTAAAAAACAAAACCAAACAAACAGAAAACTAAGATGAACATGTTTTGTTTAAGCAGAAAACAATTAAATCAGATAAACTGGATCTCTTTGTAAACACAGCCTGCCATAGCCTCTGCCATGCAAAACAATCATTGTTAATGCTTTCATTCCAGGACTGCACAAAGACCAGGACAATACTGTGCTAGGTGATCTAAAAAAAAGCAGTCCTTACCCCAAGGATCTCATGGTCCGAACAGGCACAACACACAAACCTTGTGCATCTAAGCACAGTGTTAGGCACCATAATGCCATAAATCTGTATTTTAATATTCCACACAATCCACTGAAATAAAAAGGTCTCCTCCAATCACCCTTGCTTTCATCGTGTAGGCATTCCCTCACTCGATTCACTTTATCATTTAATCCTCCTTCCATCCATAATCCTTCCAAGAGAAACAGGAAAACCTCAATCAGAGAATCCAGAGGTATCTGTAATAGTGATGTGATTTAAGTGTCCAGAGGCCTAGAAGCTCCTGCTGAGCTGACAGCTACCCCTTCATGGCACTTTCCATGTTTGGGGGAGATGTTGGGAAGTTTCTTTTTCTATTAGGGATTTCTTACATCAGATAATACGCTGCCACTGCGGATCTTACTGTCAACACGGGCACTGAGCCTATCCTGTCCTCATCCCCCCCTGCCTCCATACCCCACCCTGCTAGCAACCTGACAGATGTAACTTCTGATGTCAGCCTGGGAATTCAGCAAATGAAAGTAAATGAAAGTAATGAAAATTGTCAATTTTCCTAATTTATGTTCCCGCACACCTACTAAATATTTACATTTCTAAGCCTTGTTTCCTCCGTTTCATTCTGGGACAGCCATCTCTGTAAGAAAGCTAGTCAGCGACCTAGATGGGCAGATTTAATGCTTCAAGACCAATTGTTCTTTTTAATTTTTTAAACATATGGCTCCACGCTCAAAACATAAGGGAAATAGGTGCTTTCTTCACGCATGCAGCCTCACGCTTTCAAAGGGCACACACAAAATTGTTTTAACTCTGAAGTACAAATTGCCAAATGTGAAATACATGGTATGGCATTTCTAAATTCTCTTCTTATTTTGTTCCCTTTTGCCAGAGAGTTTTTCTGTTTTCTGTTCCTAGAACTTCACTGGTGCAAAAATAAATATATCTCATATTACCACTTCTCTCTTCCACCTCCAGGTGAAAATAGGGTGTCAGCTCAGGAGGAACAAGCGTGACCACAGACAGTGGCTGAGCCAGCCTGGCCTGGGGGTGGGCTGCTTGTCAGCAAGGCAAGGCACCTGGCTTGGAGCCGTGTTTCTTCTGTTACCCTGCTGTGAGACCAGAAGAAAATTAACGCATGCCTCTGTGCTCCTGCTTCGCCTTTGTCAATCTGAGGTGTTAAACTCTTTGATGTGATCTCTGTCCGTGTGAATATCTTGTGCTAACCTTCCCCAAGTGGATTCTTCTGAGGAAACACTGATTGAGTGAATAACGTATTAAACAGGCACTCTGGAGTCCTTCGCTCTGCTTCTGGGTAACCCCAGGCAAATTATCAACTCTGAGAACTTATTTGGTCTTTCAGCACAGCAGGAACAATGATAGTAACCGCCTTATAACACACTTCAAGACTTACGTGTGAGAAGACAATCCTGTAAAATGCCTAATAATAACTTGTTCTTCTGCCCAAGTGAGCTGAGCCCCTGCTTCAACAAGGCTGAGGGTTTCTGGAGCATTTTTAGAAACTTTTGCAAAGATACTCTCCCTACGCAACTGCTTCATTTCCTAAAAGTGTCAAAGGTTCACTGCTATTTCAGCTTTACCCTCTGAATATTATTATCATTTTCTCTGCTTCTCGAGGAATTGTTGATGTTTCCTATCACTCCTGTTACATGAGTGATTCTGATGTCCTGCCCTCTCTTGATGACTGAGGGTTTTTATTTTCAGAAAATGGCCGGCTGGTCTCTTCAAGTTGCCAAATCAGGGAGCTGGACAGCAGAAGCGCCCCAGCTTGCCTGGGGAGAAACACTCAGGTCTTGTAAAGCACAACAGTAGAGAAGAGCTAAGACTCCCAACACTCTTCTCAGTTTTTGCAAAACCCTTTCCTTTCCATAGCTGTTTCTGAGATGATTCAGACTCTAGGGGACTTCGGTCCGCAACTGTGATCCAGTATAACCTCCATCTTTTTTCTTTGGACTCTTTTGCCTCTTATATCCTTCTCTTTGTCTTAAAGTATAATTGAATGAGATGGGACAGCAGATTTGCCTGAAGCTTGCCATAGCAAGGCATACTCCTGGGTATCTCCCCAGAGCTGGACTGCTTTACACCTGGACCGTAAACCGACAGGCAACCGGGATTACATCATCTATCTTTCTTGTAAGCAGAGAAAGATTGAAACATTTCTGTCATCAGCTGTATTTCATTACTGCTACATTTCGTTGCTTTCCTGTCTCTGTAATTAGATTCTCACCAAATAAAATCAGAATAATTCCACTGTTTTCAGACGACGTTCTCCTGATCTACAGTCGTATAACAGAACATTTTGAAATGAGCAGTTACACATCGTATTTTATAGGATTATGTTGCTGTGAAATGACGGTGCAGGCTAAGTAGCTCTAGGATGAAAAACAAAAAACCTATTGCTGAATTTTACTTTCACTGCAAACCCACTGCAAAGAAAGGGAAGCAAACAGAAGAGGCCCTGCTTCTCAGGAACTCTTTCAGCCTCTCTCCCCAAAGACCCACCCAGGGAACACCGACAGACTCTAAAGCTGCTGTTTGAGAACATGAGAGAGTCTCCTACCGTGCTGCACACCACCAACTACTTCATTAGGTACACAATATCCAACGCTCTGCATGCTCTGGATGCATGCCACCCTAGGATTAAGTCTGGATCAAAAGCTTATGAATCAAATGCCAATGCCACTGCCTGCTCTTTAAGGAAAAGCACAGGGAAAAGCCTCATTTCTTGCACTGATGGAAGACAATACTTCTCTGTACAAAGATGGGCATTTTGGAATAGTGACGAGAGACAGTATACACACCTTCTGGAAAATATTAAGGGAAATATGAGATGGTATTTTTGAGACAGAATTGGGGGTTTAAAAAATCATTTTCTTCATCAATAGGCCAGGCCATGTATTCTGCAGCCTCTGCAATCCACAAATTTTAATGGAACTGCTGCTTTGACTTTGATCTGTACATAATCCCTCCTCAACTGTCATTATAACCTTCTTTTTTTAGAGTTTTTTTTATTGGGAGTAGGTTAGGAAACTTACACTGCTAGGCCACACTTTTGTAAACAGTTACACATGCATGCTTGACTTCATACAATGAACAAATTCAACGAGAATAAACAAAGTTGCTTTAACAGACCCATAATTATTTAGAAGACTTGGAAGACTGGCGGAAAATCAGCTTATGACAAATCAACCTGGACACTATTATCACTTCAAGGTACAAAGAAAATAACATAAGCTCATGAAAAGAAAAAAGCATCACTGCACACTGAGGATGGGAGTATAGGGTGACTTGTAGAAAGGTGAGCCAGTTGCTAGCCTAATTTTTATAACAGCTGGATTCAGTTCTCTGAATGTCCTATACGATACACAGCAGTGTCTCAGGGACATTTACAGTAAGATATTCCAAAGTATTTGAGCAGTTAGGGGCTTAGGAGGCTTTGTGAGCACTGGGTGAGGCAACAGGACACTTCTAGAAAGTGTCTGTAATGTCGGCGTAATGACTCTGCTTGTCATGTTTCCAGGTGACACATCTAGAAGAAGGGCTGCAAGTATGATAGACAATACTGGAATTAAAAAAAAAAAATCTCTTAAATTGGAGAAATAGGTTAAAACCAGAATTTAAAACAAGGGCAATGAATATGGTTAGGCAGAAGTAATCAAACGCAAAAAATACAGGTGGGCTTACAGTTCCTAAGAAGATAGTCCAGAGTCTATAGAGAGGAACAGATGAATGTAAACCAATAAGTCACGCTGTC